TTAGTAGAGACGGGGTTTCACCATGTTGACCAGGATGGTCTCGATCTCTTGACCTCGTGATCCACCCGCCTCGGCCTCCCAAAGTGCTGGGATTACAGGCGTGAGCCACCGCGCCCCGCAGGAATCACTTTTAAAGCAGTATAGCCCAGTATCTAAGTACTGGTGGAAAGAGTCATCATCCTCTTAAAAAACATTTCCCATTATCTCTGACTAACCTCCAAATTTGGATCACAGCTATAATCCCAGCATATCCATCTCTAGTGTGGGTTTAGGTACTTTTCTATTTTGTTTATACTGTTCAAGTCTCTGTCACCAGATTGCTTCCTTTTGGAGGAGAATCAAGATTTCTCTTTTCATTGGGGAGAAGAGAATTGGGGCTTAAATGCTGATTTGTTATACCCCTGGCCTCTTCACAGCAAAGATCTATCTAATGAAGTTTCTCCCACAAGCTGGAAAGGTGACATCTTTCCAAGGGGAGGGATGGGAACAAACATTAGGGCATAGTAGCTAGGCCATGGCTAAAGCATGAGAACCATCTAGAGCTTTCCAGGATTTTCTGAGAGCCCAGACTCTTCCCCAACCCTGAAACTCTAAGAAGGGCTCCACTAAGGGAAACTTTTTTTTTTCTTTTCTTTCTTTCTTTTTTCTTTCTTTCTTTCTTTCTTTATTTATTTATTTTTAATCGAGACAGGGTTTCACTATGTTGGTCAGGCTGGTCTCGAACTCCTGACCTGAAGTGATCCACCAGCCTGGGCCTCCCAAAGTGCTGGAATTACAGGTGTGAGCCACCGTGCCCGGCCTAAGGGAAACTTTTTTTTGAGACTGAGTCTCACTCTGTGGCCCAGGCTGGAGTGCAGTGGCTCCAACTCGGCTCACTGCAGCCTCCTCCTCCCAGGTTCCAGCGATTTTCCTGCTTCAGCCTCCCGAGTAGCTGGGATTACAGGCACGCGCCACCACGCCCAGCTAATTTCCGTATTTTTAGTAGAGATGGGTTTTGGGCTGGCTGGTCTCGAACTCCTGAGCTCCGGTGATCCACCCACTTTGGCCTTCCAAAGTGCTGGGATTACAGGCATGAGGTAAACTTTTATATATAATGTAGACGGCATAGAGAGGAAGAAATCTCGACTCGGAGAAGTTAAGTAACTCACTCAAGGTCACACAGAACTAGGTCCAGACTATTCCAAAATGTATGCTTTCCAAACACCAGGCCCGAAAGCTCCAAAATCAGCACATTTATTTAGTAAACAGCCACGGGTGCCTACAGTGGGCCAGGAACCCGATACCAGGCAGTGGACGAAAGAGAGGGTCTCCTACCCTCGTGGAGTTTACTCACTGGGCACACAATAGCCTCAGAGGCAGGCAGGGGAAGGAGGCCCAACGCATTCTAATCTGCGCTGCGGGTTTGAGCTCTTCAGCTCTCATACGGGAGTGAGTCATTCATATGGGCACTGCCCGCCACCCGAAATGGAAATGGGCTTCTGGGCAGGTCAAGATAAACAAAGTCAGTAGAAGGAAGCACTGCTTCTCCTTCTGAAGTAGGCGACTTTCCTCGAAAGGCAAAAACATCCGAGTGTTACAAACCGTTCTCAAACAAACCCCTGGTCCCTGGGTAAGGAGGTGGGCGTGGAGGGAACAGTGAGGTGTTCGGCGAACCCCTCCGGCTGCTAGCACTCGGTAGCTGGAGGCGCAGCGGAGGGGGCAGCGTCGGACCACAGGAGGGGAAGCTCAGCCCGCACTCACTTGGGACAAGGGGACGCTCTGCCCGCGCGACACCCACCTGCGCCGCCAGAGCTCGCCCGGGCCCCGCCCCCTCCCCCGGCGGCGCGGGCACTGAATGGGCAGCTCCGGTTCCAGCCATCCCCGCCACCCCTCCCCCGGCCTCGAGCTCCCAGCGCCGCTGCCGTCACAGGGCAGGGAGCCGCGGGGCTGCGAAGCAAACAAGCCCAGAGCGCCGGCCGGGCCCCTCGGGCCGAGGGGGGCTGCCCTCCCCCAAGCGAGAAAGGGGAGGGAGGCGCTGCGCGTCCAGGACCCGCCCCGCCCGGCCCAGCTTCGGCCCGGGTGCCCGCGCCGGGGGGTGCGCGCGGACCTTTCTGGCCCCCTGGGCCGCGCGGGCGAGGGCGCGAGCCCCCCGGGGTCCTTGCCTCGACTTACCTCCTTCTTCACGTTCCACAGCAGTTTCTCTTTGACTGCATCCTCCGCGCTGCCCATGGTGTGGCAGGAGGCGGCACCGAGCGGCCCGCCGAGCCCCCGCGCCCTCGCCGCCTCCGCGCCTCTCGGCTCAGCGCCCCACGCGCAAGGCGGAGCCTCCGCCTGCCGCGCTCCCGGCCTGCCGCCGCCGCCGCCGCCGCAGCCACTGCCCGGTGCTCGGCTCCGCAGCCATCTTCCGAGCCCGCACAGACGTCAGGCGGCAGGCCCGGCCCCTTCCCACAGCCGGAGGGGGGTTGCGCACAGCGACGGGGGATCGGGGCGGGGAGAGGCCGCGCGCGTCTGAGGGCGGCAGACCGGGGCGTGCGCCGCGGGGGTCGCTGTCATGGCAACGCGCCCGCTCCCGCCTCGAGGGCGCGAAGCCACATTGTGAGCCGCCTGCCCTGGAGGCCGCGGCTGAGAGCGAGCCTGGGTCCCGCCGAAGGTCCCTTGACTTCTCCCTGCCAGCTCTCCTGACGGGACGGAAAGGGCCGGGGCCCGGGACGAGGTTCCCTGCGGTCCGAGCCTGCCCATGGCGAAGCCAGTGCAGCCTGGCCCCGTGGCCCCTCGGAATCTCGGGCGGCCGTCGCCGAGCCGTCGTCAAGTTTGTGGGAAGATGAGTGGGAGCGCAGCCGCCCGAGCCCGAGGGCCCGAGAGTCGCGGCCAGTCCCCCTCGCCGGGTCGCCACGTCCCACAGGGCCCTTCCGGCCGCTCCGTGGGAGGCGGGGCGCGGGTTGCCGTCACAGGGACCGGCGGGCAAGGTGAGAGAAGTGTCTTCTACGCGATTCCCAAGCCTCGCTGGGGAATCGAGGGAGAGGAAAGGCTGCTCAAAGTGATGAAGAACGCATGCTGTTGCAAACGGAAGAGCAACGCTCCCGAACCCAGGTGACAGGAGCGGCTTGGGCCTCTTCCGCACGAACGCAGCCTTCCAGTCAGCATGTTTCTATGTGATGCAGCTTTATAGCGAAAAGTGAAAATGCAAGGGGCACAAACAGCCCTGCCGGGCCAACAGCCCGAGCCTCCAGAGTCCACATCCGGCGTCTTCTAGCCCCCAACCGCACACAGCGGCGTGGGAAAAGTTCCCACGGCGGCTGGGCGAAGCGGCGAACGAGGCGCTCTGGAGCGGCTGGAAAAGACCGTCGCCAGGGGGCGCAGGGGGCGCAGGGGGCGCAGGGGGCGCAGGAGGCGCAGGAGGCGCAGGTAGCGCAGGGAACCCCGCCCCCCCGGAGGGACCGCCCCCGTGGACGGGACCGGAAGCGCTCGGCCTGGCCCGGAAGTGTTGCAGACTCCGAACACGCGCGCTGCGGTATGGCGGCCCACCGGCCCGGCCCGCTGAAGCAGCAGAATAAAGCTCACAAAGGCGGGCGGCATCGGGGTCGGGGATCAGCACAGCGGGACGGCAAGGGTAAGAAGGTAGCGTAGAAGATAGAAGGGCTATTTGGCCGTTATTAAGTCTTTTTCCCCATGCCCAGACTGAGCTGCTGTCTCCCGTCTGGGCCCCACGCGAAAGGCCCTTTCAAGGTGGGCGGAGAGGGGTCCCTTTTCCTGACATTATTGTGGGACCGATCACAACAGCCCCTTCTAATCTGCTCTCCAGGCCGTCTGGCACTGAAAACCCTAAGCAAGAAGGTGAGAAAAGAACTCAGCAGAGTCGACCAGAGGCATCGCGCCAGCCAGCTCCGAAAGCAGAAGAAGGAGGCGGTGAGAGGAGCGGGGTTTGGGAGTGTGGCTCCTCTGCCCTTTTAAGTGGCTAATGCCTCGAACTGGAAAATGAGACCGGGTGGAGGATCCAGGGACAGAGAATAGCCCTAGAGCACATGTCGAGTGTGCAGGTCTGGCATTCCTTTATTTGGTCAGAATTCCTGCCACCCCGCCGGCATACGTGGGACCTTTTACCAGAGAGACGCTGGTTGTGGGTGGGGGGAAATGCAATGCTGGAGTGAAGTACTGAGATGTTGAGATGTTCTCGGGTATCTGTTTTCAGGTTCTGGCAGAGAAGAGACAGCTGGGTAGCAAGGATGGCCCTCCTCATCAGGTACTGGTGGTGCCCCTGCACAACAGAATTTCCCTGCCAGAGGCCATTCAGCTGCTTCAGCATAGGGACACTGGAAGAGTACACTTGAATGAATTGGGAAACACCCACAGCTTTATGCTACTATGCCCCCGCCTGAAACATCGGTGGTTTTTCACTTCAGCAAGACCAGGTTAGAGTATACAACAATGTTTTCTATTGTGTTTGAGTAGTGGTAATATTTTTTTAGCATAATGTGCTGCTGCCAACCTCCCCTTCTTACTTCTGTCTCCAGGGGATCTACACACTGTGTTAGACATGGCTAAAGTAGCTGATACCATCCTCTTCTTACTTGATCCACTTGAAGGCTGGGACAGCACCGGCGATTACTGTCTTTCCTGCCTCTTTGCCCAGGGGCTTCCCACCTATAGTAAGTGAGTTAGCATTTATTGTGCACCTGTATTTGGTACAGGAATACAACTGATGGGTCATATTCAGCTGGTGGTGGGGTGTACACATACGGATTAAAGTTGGTCCATTGTTTACAGATTCTCACTCAGGATGCCTTTTTGTTTTTGGTTGTCCTTTGCCTAGAGAAGGATATGAAGTAGGGCTGGGCGCGGTGGCTCAAGCCTGTAATCCCAGCACTTTGGGAGGCCGAGGCGGGTGGATCCACGAGGTCAAGAGATCGAGACCATCCTGGTCAACATGGTGAAACCCCGTCTCTACTAAAACTACAAAAAATTAGCTGGGCATGGTGGCGCGTGCCTGTAATCCCAGCGACTCAGGAGGCTGGGGCAGGAGAATTGCCTGAACCCGGGAGGCGGAGGTTGCGGTGAGCCAAGATCGCGCCATTGCACTCCAGCCTGGGTAACAAGAGCGAAACTCCATCTCAAAAAAAAAAAAAAAAAAAAAGAGAAGGATATGAAGTTTGAGTTCACTGTGAAATTCCTTTAGGGTAGTTAAGTGTTGGGTTTCCCAGTGATCTCTGGGCTTGCAACTGAGCTGTTAGGTTGTGAACTGCAGGGTTGTTTTTTTGTTTTTTTTTTTAAGACAGAGTTTTGCTCTTGTTGCCCAGGCTGGAGTGCAATGGTGTTGGGCCACCACAGCCTCCGCCTCCTGGGTTCAAGCAATTCTGCCTCAGCCTCCTGAGAAGCTGGGATACAAGCATGCACCACTATGCCCGGCTAATTTTATATTTCGAGTAGAGACAGAGTTTCTCCATGTTGGTCAGGCTGGTCTCGAACTCCCGACCTCAGGTGATCCACCCACCTCAGTCTCCCAAAGTGCTGGGATTACAGGTGTGAACCACGGTGCCTGACCTTAAGGGAGATTTTTATGTAATGAAGCAATAGGTCACAAAGCATTTTCTCTTTTGCTTACAGCACTAGCTGTCCAGGGGATTTCTGGCCTCCCACTGAAGAAACAAATAGACGCGAGGAAGAAGCTAAGTAAAGCAGTGGAGAAGCGCTTTCCAGATAACAAACTCCTCTTGTTAGACACTCAGCAGGAGGCAGAGATGCTGCTTAGGCAGTTGGCTAACCAGAAGCAACAGCATCTTGCTTTTCGGGACCGGCGAGCCTACCTGTTTGCCCATGCTGTTGATTTTGTTCCTAGTGAAGGGAATAACTTGGTGGGCAACTTGAAAATTTCAGGCTATGTTCGAGGGCAGACTCTGAATGTAAACAGTTTGCTGCATATCGTTGGACATGGCGATTTCCAGATGAAACAGATAGATGCCCCTGTGGACCCTTTCCCTTTAAATCCTAGAGTAATTAAATCCCAGAAGGACCCAGACATGGCAATGGAGGTAAGACTGATTTTTTTTGTTTCTGTTTTTTGAGGGGGGAAGACATATTCTTAATTCATATTCATACGAAAGTTGTCACAGTGTACTGAAAAATGTCGCATCTGGAGTTAAAAGAGAAAGACAAAACAAGTTGGCACAGGAAGGAAACTTAAATTCAGAGAAGACAGTTTTGTGCATTTAGGGGATTGAGAAGACTGTCAGTCTGAAGTAAGGCAATCGTCAGTTATAAATATGTTGGTAAATTACATATTTATCCAGCACTTTATATACTCTGCACTGCAACTGGCTCTGAGTTTATAGAAGACACTCACGGCGTGGTTGCTTTCCTTAAGGGACTTAATTGGGCTGGAACAAAATGGCACCTGTAAAATAGAGATAGCATATAGTTGAGGTACGGACCTACTATGGAAGTTTAGAAAGTAGACTAGCAAGCTTTACAGAAGAGATCAGACTTGAGCTAGGTGTTGAGAAGGATGAATGTGATTTATGAGTTGAAGAGGGATAAAAGAATATACTAGAAGATAAAGACAATATGAATCTAGTCACAGTGGTGGATTAAAGGGTTTATTTGAACTTTGAAGAAATCAACTTGATGGGAGTGAGGTATGTGATAAACGGGTAGGAGTAGGGACAGAATCAGAAAGACCTCAAGAGCCAAGCAGAGTTAAAATACCCTGGAAATGGCTGGGTGTGTGACTCACATCTCTAATCCCAGCACTTTGGGAAGCTGAGGCAGGTGGATCACCTGAGGTCGGGAGTTTGAGACCAGCCTGACCAACATGGAGAAGCACTGTCTCTACTAAAAATACAAAATTAGCTGGGTGTGGTAGCGCATGCCTGTAATCTGGCTGAGGCAGGAGAATCACTTGAACCCAGGAGGTGGAAGTTGCAGTGACCCATTACACTCCAGCTTGAACAAGAGTGAGACTGTCAAAAAAAAAAAAAAAAAAAAAAACCTGGAAATTAGAAAATGGTCATTTGAAAAATTTTTACAAGTTTTGGCATTTTGTTGCATTCATTTTCTACATGAGGATTGGTATTTCTGGGTCTTTCTGGTTACTGTGTTTGATTTAGGAGATTTTTGGTTAATGGTTGACTATCACCTGCTTTTGGTTTTCAGATTTGTGCTACGGATACTGTAGATGATATGGAAGAAGACCTAAAGGTCCTAATGAAGGCAGACCCTGATAAACAGGAATCCTTGCAAACAGAGGTTATCCCAGATCCAATGGAGGGGGAGCAAACATGGCCCACTGAGGAGGAGCTGAGTGAGGCAAAGGGTTGGTATTGGTAAACTTGTTTGTAATTCATCTGACCTGGAATTGTGGATTTCCTGTAGCTCTTCGGAGTGAGGACCATATGGGATAGAGCGGGATGGGGATATACTGTAGTTGAAAGTCTGTCCTCACTCTCAAATGCTGTATGTTTTCACTAAACAAACATTAGACACAGCTTTGTTCCATTTCCCAAAATTACTTGTGTTAATGTTTTATCATGAACAGATAAACAACTCTGGATTCATTGCAGGGCTTATTTAGCTGTGTAAGTATTGCTAGTTGTGAGGCAACTGAATTAAATTTGGAAGTAGTTCTGTTACAGTGTCTGCTGGAATTTCCCATGTTGGCAGCAGTGTCTAGTGCCTTGCCTGAGTGAGAGTAACCAGAGGCATAGGGAAAGGAGGTCTATAATTTACTTAATTTGTTTGGGCCTTTACAGATTTCTTGAAGGAAAGTTCTAAGGTGGTAAAGAAGGTCCCCAAAGGAACATCCAGTTACCAAGCTGAATGGATTTTGGATAGTGGCAGCCAAAGTGATGGGGAAGGAGATGAATATGATGACATGGAACATGAGGATTTTATGGAAGAAGAATCTCAGGTAAGGAAATGAAGCCTTAGACCATTTCTATGTCTAGCTTCAACCATAAGGCGAAGTGCAATTGTGATCTTGAGGGGTGTGTATGGTTAGTTTCTTAGGAATGACTCTGTAGTTACCAGGAATAAGGCTTTTGTTTTCCACTTTAGGCTGTATTAGAATTTATGTTGGTTGGGAATAGGTATTTAATAAAATTATTTTACTCTTAGCTTATTGGCCTTTAGGGTAGAGACGGGTGTGGATTTCTTCTGAAATAAGTAATCCTTTATTCTACAGGATGAGAGTAGTGAAGAAGAAGAGGAAGAATATGAAACTATGACTATAGGGGAGTCTGTGCATGATGATCTTTATGATAAGAAAGTAGATGAAGAAGCTGAGGCAAAAATGTTGGAGAAATATAAACAAGAAAGACTGGAAGAGATGTTTCCAGATGAGGTGGACACCCCCCGTGACGTGGCTGCTAGAATTCGGTTAGTCAGCAAGTCTAAATTAAGTCAATAGGTTTTTAAAAACTTGGCTCAGAGCTATGTCACTGTGATGCAGAAGAAGAAAAACACATTTTTCCTGCTCCTGAAGAGCTAACGTTTAATATGGGAAAGCAAGACATACATACATACAGGAAATGGTAATTATAATGACGTTCTAGACTGTGGTACAGACTACTATTACAGGACTTTAATGAAGGAAAAATACTAAGGTTAATTAGCAAATACTTCTTCCCAAAGGAGCCAATACTCAATTGAAATATATAATGTTTGGAGATTTTAGGGGGTTTGGGTAGAATAGCAGAAGTAGAAGAGTGAAGATGTAGATGATTCTATCTGTTCCGGAGGTGAGTGACTAAAGCCAGTGAATTAATTTTGGATATTAAGGAGATAAGGCTATGTGTGAAGCCATTCTCGCATTGCTATAAAGAAGTACCAGAGACTGCGTAATTTATAAAGTAAAGAGATTTAATTGGCTCATGGTTCTGCAGGCTGTACAGGAAGCATGGTGCTGGCATCTGTTCAGCTTCTGGGGCAGCCTGAAGAAACTTACAATCATGGCAGAAGGCAGAGGGGGAGCAAGTCATGTCACATGGCCGGAGTAGGAACAGGAGAGCGAGGCAGGAGGTGCTAACACTTCTAAACAACCAGATCTCATGAGAACTCACCAATGGGGATGGTGCTAAGCCATTCATGAGAAAACCTCTCCCATAATCCAGTCATCTCCCACCAGGCTTCGCCTCCAACATTGGAGATTATATTTCAATATGAGATTTGGGCAGAGACACACATCTGAACTATACCAGCTCATTACCAAACATCTTTTTTGTCAGGGAGCCACTATAAATCCTTTGTCTTTTGTCAGTGGGAAGCTTGGGTTTGGTTCTGATATAACTTGTTACAAGTTGTTTTGCAGTGTGGTCTTGGTTTAAGCTGTTAGTTTATTTTGAGAGATAGTGATTGGAGTTCTTTTCAGCTAGATCATTAGCCATTTTAGCAGTGACTTGAGTCTATGTATATAACACCATATAAATCTGATTTAATTTCTTTAAAATCTTCAATATTCTAGATTTCAGAAATACAGAGGCCTCAAGAGCTTCCGGACATCTCCATGGGATCCTAAGGAAAACCTTCCTCAAGAGTATGCTCGGATATTTCAGTTTCAGAACTTTACTAATAGCAGGAAAAGCATCTTTAAGGAGATTGAAGAAAAAGAGGTTGAAGGAGCTGAGGTATCTGCCCTCCTTGTCCATCTTGTATGTTGCTTTCATTTGTCAACATGCTCCCACTTTACTCCTTCTCTTGGCATGGAAATATGTTGTGTTGGGGGATTGGGGGAGCCCCTGAGTCATCGACAAGAATGATACTGGAAACAGGCCAGGTGCGGTGGCTCACATCTGTAATCCCAACACTTTGGGAGGCCGAGGTGGGCAGGCAACTTGAGGTCAGGAGTTTGAGAGCAGCCTGGCCAACATGGAGAAACCCCTTCTCTACTAAAAATACAAAATTAGCTGGGTGTGGTGGCTCATGCCTGTAATCCTAGCCACTTGGGAGGCTGAGGCAGGAGAATTGCTTGAACCCAGGAGGCGGAGGAGGTTGCAGTGAACAGAGATCGTGCCATTGCACTTGTGCCTGGGCGACAGTGACTCCATCTCAAAAAGAGGTCTCCGCCATGTTAAATGAAAAAATGTAATCTGGGTAGTAAAGCCATCTTGAAGGGTGGGGTTGGCTTTAAAAAGGTCATCTGAACGACTCACCATATTTGGAGAAAGCTTCCCCATTATTAGGATTTTGAGGGGTAACTCCATTGCTTTCTGCTTTCTTATGGCAGGTTGGCTGGTATGTCACAATTCATGTCTCTGAAGTTCCTGTCTCAGTGGTCGAGCACTTCAGGCAAGGAGCACCCTTGATTGCATTTTCTTTACTACCTCATGAACAGAAGGTAAATGAGTGTCTTGTGGGAAAATGGGGAATTTTGAAACTTTCCAGCTGCTTCTGATAGTCTAAAATTCTGTTTTTGTGACTAACATTCTGCTCATAGAGATGCAAAAAGTCTGCCTTTCTGATTAGGAATTGGAGAATAATAGAGAAGTCAGTGATGGTTTTATTCGTACTGTCTGAACCTGTCTGAAGCATCTCAGTGATGCAATCTCTGTGTGGTTCTGAGACTTCTCCAAGTATGTTTTTCAGACCAGATTTAGAACAAGGGTGGCAGCCTTAAACATAAAGGTTTATGCCAAGGTGCAGATCTCTCTTCTCTTGGTGGCCAACAGTTGTATATATCATAGTTCAGGAAGAAGGGGCTTGAGCGAGTGTGTTTTTGAGATTGTGGTGAGTGTCTTGAAGGCCACTGATTTTTGTCGCAGATGTTGAGCTCTTTTTCTGCTAGATGCAGAAAGGTAAGTTAGCATTGAAGGGTGCATGAAAGCTCTGATGAGCCTATGTTTGGCTTAAATGTCAGTCATTGGTGGAGGTAAAGGATGAATCTGTGTTACTGCATCTATACTCCACCCATTTATTAGCATTGTCAGTTCTTAGAATGAATCTGAATCTGCTAGTTTGGTTTGCCTTCTTTCAAGTTAGGCAATTGTATTCTTAGACTATGAAGATTTTTGTTTTTCTTACTTGGTTCTCAGATGTCAGTATTGAATATGGTGGTGAGGCGTGACCCTGGCAACACTGAACCTGTAAAAGCCAAGGAAGAACTCATATTCCATTGCGGATTCAGGCGCTTCCGAGCCTCGCCTTTATTTTCTCAGCACACTGCAGGTTAGCGGTGGGGAACCTGGGTTCTTGTCCATCTTGTCTTTTGGGAAACTGACTTGTGGTGAAGGGGTGCAGAAGGGTCAGTTTCAAAATCTTATATCTCTGGATTAGAGGTATTCTCCATACTCTGGCTAAAGAGCCAATGATGTTTTTACTCAAAATGTCTGAACCTGTCTGAAGCATCCTAGTGATGCAACCTGTGTTGTACTGAGGCTTTTTTGCCATGAATATTTGTTCCAGAGTAGGTTTTGAGTAGAAGTTGGCAGCTTTATAAAAAGGGCATTAGGCTGGGTGCAGTGACTCACACATATAATGCCAAAACTGGCATTAGAATGGGTGAATTAAAGATGAAAAAAAAAAAGCCAAGATTTAATCATCCTTTTATTGTTTCAAAATAGTTCTGATTTTTTTTTAAGGATGAAATAACTATTTTCATATTTTAGACAACTGGGAAAATAATGTAAAAATAAAATTACCTTAGAAAATTCATTATTACTTTATACATTTTCATCTAGATCTCTCTTTTTTTTTTTTAAACGCAATTGGGATTGTAATTGTAAATATGGTGTTAAACATTGCATTTATCACTTAGTTGATTTTGATCAATTTTCCATAAGATTAATTAATGACTTTTTTTTTTTGAGATGCCCTGCCACCCAGGCTGGAGTGCACTGGTGCAATCTCAGCTCACTTTAACCTCTGCCTCCTGGGTTCAAGCGATTCTCCTGCCTCAGCCTCCCAGGTAGCTGGGATTACAGGTGCATACCACCACACCCAGCTAAATGACACTTTTAAGGCTTTGTTGTCATTTGCATATATTCTGGTATATGTGATGTACTGATATTTATTTGACTGTCTATGTGTGAGCACTTAGGCTATTTCTTCTTCTTCTTCTTTTTTTTTTTTGACTGAGTCTTACTCTGTTGCCCAGGCTGGAGTGCGGTGGCATGATCTCAACTCACTGCAACCTCCACCTCCCAGGTTAAAGTGATTCTTCTGCCTCAGCCTCCTGAGTAGCTGGGACTATAGGCGCAAGCCACCCTGCGCCTGGCTAATTTTTGTGTTTTTAGTAGAAATGGTGTTTCCCCAATTGGCCAGACTGGTTTTGAACTCCTGACTTCGTGATCTGCCTGCATTGGCCTACTGAATCGCTGGGATTACAGGCATGAGCCACTGCGCCCAGCCTCACTTAGGCTATTTCTAATATTTTGCCCTGAATTATATCTGTATGCATAAAATGTTGTTTACTTCTTTGCTTATTTTGTAAAGGCAGATCCTTAGAACTGGAACTAAATCAAAGTCTCAGTTCCAGAGACTGAGGCAGGAGGATCGCTTGAGGTCAGGTGTGAGACTCTTGTCTCTACAATTTTTTTTTTTTGAGACAGAGTCCTGCTCTGTCACCCTGCTGGAGTGCAGTAGCATGATCTCTGCTCACTGCAGCCTCCACCTCTCGGGTTCAAGTGATTCTGGTGCTTCAGCCTCCGGAGTAGCTTGGACCACCAGCAAGTGCCATCACGCCCAACTAATTTTTGTATTTTTAGTAGAGATGGGGTTTTTCCATGTTGGCCAGGCTGGTCTCAAACTCTTGACCTCAGGTGATCCACATGCCTTGGCCTTCCAAAGTGTTGGGATTTGCAGGCATGAGCTACCATGTCTGGCCTCTACAAAAAAAATTTTTTTTTTTTTT